GAATAGAAAAACATTGAAAGGGTCAGCATCAAAATTTGTAGAATTAGGTATTGTTAGGTGCCATTGGGCTGACAACTCCAGCTATAAACCTATGAACATATGTAAATGTATGAACAACAGATCTGAGCTTTGTCTTATCCTTGCCCCATCATTACAGTCTCTGCCATGCCCATTGTTAGATCCACTAAGTCAATGTATCTTGCTAAGCATTGCCCTCTGTTTTGATGACCCTCCACCTTTCCTAATATAATGTCTTTTTCCAAAGACTGGTCCCTCCTGAAAACATACCCCAAAGAATGTGCAATGGAGTTATACCATTCTTTCCTCTAAAGAGGACCATGTTTGCACTTCTTTCAAGAAAAATTTGTTTGTTCTGGCAGTTCAAGACATATCTAATATTCCATATTCTTCACCAACATTACAATTCAAAGGCTTGATTCTTTGTTGGCCTTTATCCATTGTCCAACTGTTAAATGCATATGAAGCAACTGAAAACACCATGACTTGTATCAGGTACATCTTATTCATTAAATCAACATCCTTGCTCTTTAGCACTTTGCAGAGGTCCACCATAGACTGTCCTAATGCAACTTATCTCTCGAGTTCTTGACTGCTGCTACTGTGACAGGTGTTGACTACAAATCCAAGTAAAATGAAATAGTTGACAACTTCAGTCTTTATCTATCATGATGTTGGTTAATGGTCCAGTGCTGAGGATTTTCTGAGGTTGAAAGGTAATCCATATTGAAGACTGTAGCCCTGAATCTTCTTCAGTATGTGTTTCAACTCTTCACTTTGTGCAAGAAAGGTTGCGTGATCTGCGTAGAGCAAGTTGTTGATGAATTTTCCTCCAATCCTGATGCCACATTCTTGTTTATATAGTCCAGATTCTCTAAAGATTTGCTCAACATACAGACTGAATATGTATGGAGAAAGGATACAACCCCAACACACACACCTCCTGATTTTAAATCATGCAATGTTCTCTTGTTCTATCTGGACAACCACTTCCTGGTCTAGGTTTCTTACGAACACAATGAAATGAAGAGAAAGTTTCAAATATTCATTAATAACTGGGACATGTAATGTATGAATCTTTGAAAACTGGAATGAAATAGAATGCATAGAGATTGACATCCTAGGCATTAGTGAATGAGCTGGACTGATAATGGCCATTGTGAATTACACAATCATATGATCTATTATTGAGGGAATGACAAATTGGAGAGGAATGGTGTTGCATTCAGAGTCATAAAAGAACATTTCAAGATCTATCCTGAAGTACAATGCTGTCAGTGCTAGAATACTATCTACATGCATACAAGGAAGACCTGTTAGTTCAACTATTATTCAAATATATAGCACCAACTACTAAAGCCAAAGATGAAGAAACTGAAGATTTCTATTAACATTATGGGCTGGAGCATACTGTAGATAATGAGTATGGTATAGATTCAGAACTGCTATGAGTCGAAGACTTTGACAGCACCTGACAATCACCAACTATTGTAGTCTGAAATTGAAAATTAAATCTTGGTAGTTGAAAAAAAAATCTAATGACAATCTTTTTTTATTTCCTAGGAAGGTGATGACTCTGATGTGTTAAGTACCTTTGTAAAGTTGGAGATAAGAACAGATCAATTCTATATAATTGCAAAATCAACTTAAGAGTCTATCACCTATAGTTTTAAAATATTGATTATTCAGATGCTCTGCTGGAGAAGGAGGGGCAATCTCCTCCTGTACTAGTCAGATGTGGTTTGATGGTACACGCACAAAAAATAATAAAAGCAAAATAAATTTAAAATGTTGATTATTTTAGGAAATAGTCCAACACTAACCCTCCTGATGATACAGGGGATGATGCTGTGGGGAAAATAGAGACATTAATTATGCCCTGTTAAAAAAGTGATTCAGATTTTGGAATATATTATCCAATTTCTTTTATTTATAATTCCCTTTATATTACATAAGAATAACCAGCTAATTAAGACTAACAATTCTTTCTACAAGTATAAATAAAAATTCCAAGTGGGAAAAACCCCATCATTTATTTGGTAATATTTCAATAGGCTTTATTATCTGAGAGCTTCCTTGTGTCGCGGGTGGCACTCTGGTGGCCTACTCTCTAGGGAGTTGCACTGCTAACCCAAAGGTTACACATTTCTGGTGGTTGAAGTCCACCGGTGGCTCCCAGTGAGAAAGTAGGGCAGTCTCCTCTCATCAATATTTACAGCCTTCAAAACCTGATGGAGGATCACTGTGTGTTGGAAGTGACTTGATGGCAGTGAGATGGGTGAAGGAAAGGAGCCTTGGTGGCAGAGTGGTTAAAGAATTCAATTGCTAACCCTATAGATAGTTCTATTCTGCTCTACAGGTTATAATACACTTGATAGTGGAGGGCAGTGTGTATGGGTCAAGACAAGAACTTTGGTGGCACAATTCTGGTTTTGTCTATACTTGTCAGCTGCACAGGAAAGTTGTGCTAATCTCTATGTTTGTAAATATTTACTGTTTTAAAAATCTTATGTGTGAAACCCAAAGTCTCTGTAAATTTTCATTGAAATTAATAATAAATTAAAAAAAAAAAACCTTTATGTGTGATGCAGTTCTGCCGTAGAGGATCATTACAAGTTGATTATTGATTTGACAGCACTGGGTCAAAGATCAAGGCAGATTGTGTGAGCTTGTTCTGCTGGATGTAGAAAGAGAAGAAACAGAAAAATAACACAGCGTAGACTAATTTTCATCAGTGAAAGCAAAGAAGTAGCTAATTTTCATGTAGTGTCAAAATGCATTAAATAAACCATAAATGAGCTTGACTGGTAATTTTGAGCTGGTATAATATTAGTTATCTAAAAAAGATGGGTGTCACAGGTTTTGACAGGAGGAGTGCAATTTCAGTGCTTGCCAAAGCATTATTTTCCACAAATATACCTCTGCTTACCACAGGCCTTTAAATATTTATGTAATATATGGTATTCAAAACACCCAGAAGAGGAGGTTTGGTGGTGTATTCATCTGCTAACGGAAAATTCTGTGGCTCAAACTCACTAGCTACTGGGTGTGGGGGGGAATAAAAGAGTCTGCTTTTTATGGAGATTTATAGCCTTTGAAATCCTCAGTATGAGTTTAAATGGACTCAATGGCAACAGACTTGGTTTCCTTTTTTTTTTTAGCCACCATTAACATCTTTCTAATAATGTATCATATACTTATTATTTATCACATTATTAAAACTTTTTAGATATTTCTGGCCCATAGGTATAGCAATGAAGAGCCAGAAACCCAAGAATACAGAATCCTACCTATTTTGGTACATAACAACAATTGAACTAAAATAAACTAGTGTAGTTCTTCTCAGACTCTAGTATGTATAGAAGAATTACCTTGCGATTTTGTTATAATCCCTGGGTCAATTCCACATATTTTTATATAGTAGATCTGAGGAGGGCCCTGAGAATTTACATTTCTAATAAGGATTCCCTAGGTGGCGCAAATGGTTAACATGTTAAGCTGCTAGCCAAAAAATCTGGATGTTCATGTTCATGCCTCAGAAGAAGGGCTTGGAGATTTACTTCCGAAAAGCCAATCACTGAAAACTTGATGGAGAAGTTTTATCTACTCTTACATTGGTTTGCCATGAGAAGGAGTCAACTCTGGGGCAATTGGTATTCTTTAACTTTTGCCTCACCTAAAACCAAACCCAAACCTAATCTAGTGTCTAGTGTTTTATCCCTTTTTTCATTGATTCAAACTAGAGATTCCATTCTTTATCAGACACCATGTCAAATGTGGTTATATATGATATGTTGTTGTTAAGTGTCATCGAGTCACAGGCGACTCATAGCGACCCTATGAAGGAAAGTCCTCAACATTGTGTGTCTCTCATCCTCTCTCCAGGTTCATAGGGTTTCTGGAGGCAAGCTATTACAGAAGTGGATGCCACTCCTGCTTCCAAGTTTGTTTTAATCGGGGAGCTCCACCAAACACTGTCCACCATGGGTAACCAACCATTAATGCATTTGACACATCAGTGTCACAGTGTTCAGCCTCACAGCAACCATGTTACCACTGTTTGGCAAGTGGACACACCAGGGCTATACGACCTAGAGAAATGTTTGAACAAAAACAATGAAAGACAGGCCCGAGAGCTGTGGATTAAAAGTCACCCACCTTTGGTTTGGTAGCATCGCTTTCTGTCCACTGGGCCAACTGATCACTCTCCAGGTTGATGTTATTGTTGTTAAGTGCCATCGAGTCACAGGTGACTCATAGCGACCCTATGAAGGAAAGTCCTCAACACTTGTGTGTCTTTCATCCTCTCTCATATATATTTTTCCACTCACTTACTTATTGCCGTAGAGTTGAAACTGACTCCTAGAAGACCCTCCAGTGGTTTTTGAAAGGCTGTAATTTGCATAGCAGATTCCCAATCTTTCTCCCACAGAACAGTAGCTGATGGATTTGAACCATGTGCCTTTGGATTGGGCAGTGCAACTCCTTACCAATTATGCTATGAGAGCTCATAGGTATATATAGAGATATATATGCATACAGTCATATAAAAGAGCCACTGAGAAAGGCAACTGAAAGATGCTAATATATATTTTATTGTTGCCATTGAGTCAACAACTCATAATGACCCTATGTGCAACAGATCTGAACCTTGTCCTATCCTGTGTCATCTTCACTATCTCCAATATACTCAAGCCCACAGTTACAGTCACTGTGTCAATCCATCTTGTTGTGGGTCTTCTTCTCTTCCTCTGACCCTCCACCTTTCCCAACATGGTAACTTTTTCCAAGGCTTTGTCACATTAACAGGATGCCATGATGTAGGGTCTACAATGCAGAACTCTGTATAGGCTAAGTCTCACTTGACTCAACAGCACCTAACAACAATAATTTATTTCATCATTTGAAGCCAACCCATTTGCATTAACCACTGATTATCCTACTCCAGAGCAAATTTTACAAAGTATTTTCTCTCAACATACCTATCTCGCGAGCAAGAATAATACTGCTGAGGCGTATCGGTTGGGTAGATTCGGCAATGAGTACAGCTTTTTGGGAACACAAGGTGTCATTTTCATATAAAGGTTCAACAGTAACTGCATCATGATGGGTGGAATGCCTGCCAGAATAAAATACTTAAAAAGTATGAAAAAAGAACATGGGTTAAAACTACCTTTTGGTGGAACACATGTTATAGACTACCAGATAAGTTTCCAGGACATCCTTATGCTTAGTGACATAAGAATTAAAGTCTTTTCCCAATGGTCCCTTGTGCAGTTAAAGAAGTTTTATATTTCCCCTTCAGTATGTTAAAATGTGGTGCTGTATTTTCCATGGGTAGACTTTCTCACCCTAGAAAGTAGACATCTGCCATCTAAATTCAAAAAGTTAATTTTGAAGTGTGAGGTGTGTGTTGTTTTTTTTTTTAAATCCCTCATTATTTTTGGCTAGGTGGAAGGAATGACTCCTTGCATTATCCTCAAAATCAGGAAGCAGAGCACAAGAGGTCAAACCAACAAGCCTGATTATCTTTTCACCCTGAATAAACTTCTCACTCATTGGAATCAACTCATATCTGACCTTTCATTGAGTTTCCAAGTCTGTAAGATGCATAGGAGGAGAATGCCTATTTTTTCCACCAAGGAGCTATGAGTGAATTCAAACTGCCAGGAGGTACAATCTTTTGAGTTATTAACACAGCTTCTCTTAAGAGAAAAAAAAAAAGGAAATCAGCTCCACTTAAGAGTAAATTTCTTAAAAAAAAAAGAGTAAATTTCTTTCCTGCATGAAGTTATTGTTAGGTACTATAGAATCAATTCAGACCCATACACAGTACAACAGATGCATAGTACAAACTTGCTTGATTTTGTACCATGTTCACAATCCCCATTATACTTAAGCTTAGTTGCAACAGTTGTGTGATAAATGGTTAATTTGCTCTGGTAATAACTGAAAGATTGAATGTTCAAGTCCACTCAAAGACACTTCAAAATCAGCAGCCTTTAAAATCCTATGGAGTTACAATAGCAAGGAGTTGGAAACCTAAATGCCCATCAACAAACGA